TTTCCCTCTTTTTTGAAACATAGAAGATTTCTATTTTGAATCGCAAATCTGAAAAGTAAATATATCTAAAGTATGTCAATCCCAGTCCCATTTCCCCCTTATTTTTTCCCAAAATGAAAATCTGCGTAATTTAGTACTCAAGATAGGCTCCACTTTTTTTTTCTGATAGCATGTGGGAGAAGGAGCTTGAAGATACTAGGGAAAATCAGATCTCATTGAAAGAAATGAAGAAGAACCTGTGAGTCTCTGCTGTGTATCCTGAAATTCATTTACTACCATGAATTTCGGAGTACTAAATGCAGAATTCAAGACTGGAGGATATACCACAGTAAAGGGAAGAGTGGTACAGGATTACTTCTCGTAGCATTGCCTGCATTTGCTTCAAAACTGGAGTCTGTGCATTCTTTTGGCGCCCAGTTTGATGGTCAAGGTAGTTGATTTTTAACTCCTAGAAAGACTTGTGCGTACTTCTCTCTTACACAGCTGCTTGCAGGGCTCACTAGTTCTTTTCCATAGTTCTGCCCTGCACTCTGTGAATGTTACCAGGCTTCAGAATGATGTATAGGCTTTCTGCACTGTGTTTTATTGTGCAGTGTATATTGATAGTTCAAGTATAGCGAGTGTCCTCACACAATTGAGAACATTCGAGCAATACAGAGTGATTGCGTTAGCAGGTGAGGCACAGTAGCTGTGCCCCAGCCAACCAAACCGCTGTGTAGCAGGGCTTTTATCGAGGACTGTAATGTATATGACAAAAGTGTAGGTCCTGGGAAACTTCTAAGTTATAAAGAGAGTTACTTCTGATCAACTTGCATGCACCTCAGTATTCAGTTGCAATGCATTACTGTGCATGAGGAGTAGTTTGGCTGTTTTCAACCTGTTTCTTTTTCTTTTTTTTTTATATGTAAATAACTTAATGCATCAAATAGGGCAAGCCATGGTACAAAGAGCATGACGTCCGAAGAGGTCCTGGAGACATATGGAAGGAGGGAGTGGAAACATTTTAATACAGTCAGTGGAATGGTTTCCCGCTCAGGTAGCTATACCTTAGCATCTCCTCTTCTTTGAAATTGCTCTGGCCCCTTCAGTGCCTCACAGTATTAGTTCTTACTACAAATATGTAAAAATACTTGGGCAGAGAATTACTGGAATAGGTAAATGCTTTGCGGGAGAGTTGTTTTTTTGTATTTTCAACTTCTAATACTAGAGTTCAACTTAAATTTAGGTCACTAGTGACAAGACAAATGAGCTGACATTATAGGCATGTTTTGGTTATAGAGATGGGCACATTGTTCCTTGATGAAGTAGACTGAGATTACCAGCCTATCTCACTTAGGACATATTTGGCAAATCTTAAATTTTTCTTAATTGCTGACTCATTACCATCAGTGCTGTTACTGGAGGCCTAGGTGCAGGTGCCAAGAACAGAGCGGATCTGGAAACAAAACTCCTCCTCCTGCAATTGAAGTTTCTTGGTTTTAAGATGGGAGTCACTTTGAAGGCACTGTGGCTAGGTTTGTGTTCTTGCTCTGTGCTTCCCCTCTGTTTTACTTTGACCTTGGCAATTGTGAGTAATACACGTAAAGTGCTCAGTTAAGTTGCATTGTCCTATGTAATGAGGAGATTTTCCTTGAGATTTTGCTGACATAAACTTGTTTGTGATGCTTATTCTAAACTGCAGGTAATCATTTGTAACAGGGTAGAAGAGAAAGGTTTCCTTTGGTCTTATAGCAAATGTGCCTTTCTTATTCATTGAAAAGTGCACTTGGTCTCTCTTGTGAATGTTAATCGCTGTCTCTTAAGTATATTAAAGAAAGGCACAGACAAGATCATGAGTACAAAAAAACCCACTGGTTAAGGCATTTCACTCCTAGGAAAGAGTTGTTGAACATGACCTCAGTCTGGGGGGGACATTTGGACCCTCCTGACTTTGTTCTGTTTTGGGGGCTCACATAATAACATGGGCATGCTTCCCCTTGGGCTAAGGCACTGTCTGCAGCATGTGTGTGCAAAGGACAAGACTACGTGTAAGACCTGTCCAGATGTTTCTGAAACAACTTCTCAAACCCTTTCTTTTTGTTTCCACTGCTAGGGAAATAGATATTTCGGAAGAGTTGAGTGATACTGTCCTGACCTTAAAACTCACGGTTCTCTCCCATCTCTTCCACCTTAAATTTTAGAACCTTAAAATGCATTTTTAAATCTCGCTGCCTTGATATAGATGAACAACTTTCAGTTGCCAATTACGAAAATCAGAAGTGGGAATAAAGGCTAACAAAGATTGGGAAGCAGATAATGCTTGTTACCAGTAAAATCCAAATAGGAGCTTATACTATTGTTTAAATGTATTTTTTTATTTGTGATTAAAGCATACAATAAGGATTTTTAAAAAAGTAGAAATTTTCTTATTATTTTTTTCCAGCTAAATACTATTTGTATGATAATTATTTTGACCTGCCAGGAGCTCTCTTGTGTGCAAGGGCTGTGGACAGCTTAAATCAGGTAAGAACTGGATTGTTTGAAACTAAGTATTGCATTATCTTTCTCTTCCCCCACCACACTTCTTGCATGCATTATTAAATGCGTACAAATAGTGTATTGAACAACATCAAGGTCTTTAGCTTTTTCCTTGTTTGGAATTTTTCATGTTGGACTTAGTGTATTAAAGTTGTCTCCAAAGCTAATTGTGAGCTACATGGCATTTTCAAAATAAATGTACTTCCACAAGAGGGCACAAATAATTAGGATACAAATAGAAATGCACTGTTTTCTCAAGTTTACTCTGTGATACGCAGAATATAGTTCTTAAAATCTCCTTTAATTATACTTGATGATACTTGAATTAAATCTAATGTAAGTCTTCTGAGTAACACGGTTTGCTAATTTGCAAGGTGTTAATGAGTTGAAAGCTTAATTCCATCCTTTTTTAAACTTGTTTTTGTCTTAAATATATTGATCTGTATACACAGATGTACATACACCTCTAGAATAGTACCCTTTTTTTTTCCTCTGCTAAACAGTAAGTTAAATTTTCAAGGCGGAAAATAAAATTGCTTGAACCTTTTTCAGTGCTTTTTAGACAGATGCAATGTCCTAAATCCTACCTTTGAAGTTTGATGCTATTTGATTTGGTTGTGTTAAAGAAGGCTTGAATCTTTAACTTGTGTGCAGCTCGGGGTAGGAGAGGATTCTTCTCATACAGTAAGTATATTGGTGTCAGAAGAGTACTGATGTAATCTTCTGGCTAAAGGTACCAAAGAGCTGCAGCACTGAAAATTGCAAATACTAAACTTTGTCTGCAGAGTGAAATTCAGAGCTGTGAGTTGGGTATCTGGGATCCCTTTAGGTGTCAGCTGACTTGATGCTTTAGCCTCCACTCCAAAATAGCATGCTGAGTAGATTGCTGCCTAAGTCTAAGTGCTGCATGAAGAGTTAGCTAAGGCTAGCTTATCAGGAAGCACTGAGGACAGGTGTGCCATAAGGCTTTTAATTTTGTGCCTGATTAATCTCCTTCCTCTACTGTTCGCAGCTTAGAAACCTCGCTCAGATGTGATGCCTGTATTACTTCATTTTATATTAATTTAGACTCAGCACAAATCACCTACTTATTGAGAGAGAAAGCATGTTATAGCATGTGTGTAATAAGCTTGCGCATTCAGTTACTAGTTCGCAAGCTGGAACGCTGATCCTGGATCAGTGCTATCTTCAGCCAGAGAGAATTAAACCCGTGCTGTTTCTCCAGAGAGCTACCAGAAGTGGGTCAGGCACCCTCTTTATCAGCTAGCAGCTCTTCGATATTTTACTGGATGTTGGCCTGGTTTCAACAGGAGGGCCACAGTAATTCTCTGGGATGTTACCATCAACCAGATGAGAAAGATGCAAAGCAGGAGGTGGTAGGCCTCTCCAGCAGGCCTCATGACTGCAACGTGCTGCATCCTAAGGGTTAGAAATCATCACATTTTTTTCCTCCACATTTCTGAAAGGAAGTAGAGGCTTCTGTTTCCTGTTCTGGGAGCCTGTTCAGGAAGGGCTATTTTCTTATAATTTTCAGAAAACATTCTAGGATCAGGAACGCTTCCTACTGGAAACAGATGGGAGAACTGCTAGGTTTGGATTCAAAATGCGTTTAGGCATGAGTTGGATGCTGGGCTGCTCTACACTGTTAAGAATCAATCTGGTTTTGCAGTGTCCGGAGCCAGAACTCATGTATTTTTCAGACAAAGCAGAGGAGCTTCTTAGTGTTTTGGATCTTCGCATTGAAGCTCTAAACAAAATACTTCTTTGTCTGATACTTCAGCTAATGAAATCACATTTGATAATCACTGCCAAAATCTTGGTGGACTGCATGGACATGCACACAGTTTTCTCTCTGCTTTCTGGGAATTGGTCCGTTTTCTTGCATGTCTCATGTGCAATGGCTGTAGATTTGCAAGGAATTAGTTTGACAGTTATTTTAGTCTTCTCTGAGGTCAAATGTTTTGAAGGAAGTGTACCCACTTTTAAACTAGTATCCATCTGTCTTCAAAACAGCACTCTGAGGAACTGTTAGCTCATTGCACTGATTTTTTTTTAAAAGAAACAAACAAACTAAAACCCCAAACTAAGGAGCAAGTCAGCCACGTGGAATATGAGCGGAGCGGACAGTTGAATGTGTCTGTCCCAAGGTTAGTGCTAGCATAGGCTAGTGCCGTCGCCACTAGACAGATAGGTGCTCCCCAGCATCTCCTGAACATGGCTTTGAATAATGACCTTGGTTAGCAGCTAACTGAAGTTTGACGTATATGAAAGCTTTTCTCTCTGTTAGTCCTTTTATGTATTTCTGCAGCAGCCTGCTATAGGAATGGATTAAAAAAAAAAAGTTAAAAGCCACAGCATTGTATCTTTCCTGCTCTTAACCTGTAGAGCTGGTGGGTGATAAGCAGACTGTGCACAACTGACAAGCACTATGGCAAAAGGCCTTGTTTGTGTGACTTGCTGGTTGTGAAATTAAGGGCAGACCGTTCTTCTGGAAGCCTCCATGGCAGATTAGGCCTGAAATAGCAGTTTACTTCAGCACATATAAACTACATGTTTTTGGCTGGTGATGTTAAGGGGTTTTTTTTCAGTTTCTGAATGTTTCCCTCTCTAGAAATTGCTTTATGCTTACAAAATGGGTCATTATTCAGGTACCAGTGCAGTGGTCAGGACACAGAAGGCAATGCCATGAAATCTGTTAACAGTTGCATTGAAATTTATCCTCGTGTAGGTGTGGAAAGCCTGTAACAACACCGCATGATACTTTCCACAGTGTACAAACTCAAAGATACTATACCACCTGCTTTGCTGCTGCCAAGTACCTTGTAACTCTGGGCACCTCTTACAGGCTCTGTAGCTAATCCTCTGCTCTGTAATATTGGCTAGCTGCATAACTGCATCCGTGTTTAATTCAGCACTCCTAAAATTTGTGGAGTTTGAGAGTGCTGTGAGGCTCAGCTGGTTGAGAAGCTTTTCCTCTCCCTTGGTGAAATGCTGAAAGGGTGGTTGAGGTCAGCTGGAGCTCTTCTGTGCCTGGCCGACTTTCTAGGAACAGCGAGAGACACCTCACAAGCGCAGATCACCTTCCTCTGCCCTTCTGCCAGAGCTGGGGTTTGGCAGTCTTCAGAGTACAATGTAACACCGTGCTGCTCAGCCTGGCTTCTGGATGAGTTTCGTGTGGTGTTTGGGGTGGAGTTGTTGGCAGAAGGGCATTACCTCTAAATTACAGGAAAGGGTTTTGCCAGTTCTGAGGGTGGAAGGTGATAAGAGTACCAGGCTGTAGATACTGTCAACCTGCTAATTAAGTACAGTATTTGCAGTTCTAAGCACTTCTTTTTCCCAAATGTCAGTGGGATGGCTCATTCAGTAAGTTGCTGTTCTGTCTAATGACCCCTTTTGCTGTAATGTTTTAGAGTTCCTCCTTTCCCCTTCTTCCCCCCACACCACCATATCCTTCTGAAGCAGGGAGACAACTTGTCTGCAGTTACCCAAGGTTCACCAGTCAAGCTGGGTACTGAGTCCTGATCTCCTGAATCCTACTGTCTGAGACTGTTTTACTCCATTTTCAAAATACTTTTGTTTATTT